GGAGAGAGAGAGAGAGAGAGAGAGAGAGAGAGAGAGAGAGAGAAAGGTCAAATGTCGATAATAATATTATGTTTTTTTCTTCAGTATAATATATTGGTCATGTTGTTATGTTTTTGATCATGTTTGTTGATCATCATCATCATTGATTCTTTTATTCTGTTCTGTTATCTAAAATATAGTAAACGTGGTCAAACAAACGAAGCAATACGATTAATGGAACATTCCATTTGTTTGGATAGAAAATTTGCTGAATCATATGAAGCATTAGCTGAATTATATTCAAAAATTGGTTATGAATTAATAGCTGAACGTTTTTATTATCGTGCAATACATTTACGACGTAAAAATGCAGATTTTTATAATAATTTTGGTACATTTTTACAACGTACTGGACGATTGATTGGTGCGGAAAAAAATTATTTATATGCAATACGTTTAAAACCCGAACATCAAATTGCAATAATTAATATGGCCAATTTATTAACATTGATGAAACAATTTGATCGTGCTGAATATTTTTATAAAAGGTTTGTTTTCAATCGACCAGTATTATATAGTCTCACCGACTGAATAGCAGCAGGAAAAAAATTACCAATGCAAATTAGCTCCAAAAAGAAAGTGAATATTTCCATTCCAAATCAATTGTTTTTCGGCAGAAAATTGATTGTATGCCGAAGTCAGCAGATTCAGTCAAAACACACACACACAAAAACCATTCAATTATCACCACCATTAATTCTTTCTTTTCTTTTCATTCTTATTTACAATGTATCTACCGAAAAAATGCATATTTCGGTTGTTGTTTTCTCAAATTCCCGGGCAAAAAAAAATCCAAACGAATAATGCACAACAGAGCAATCAAATTACGACAAGATGCTATTACATTAGATTCATTGGGTACATTATATTTACATCGTTCAAAATTACAATTAGCCAATCGTATTTATCAAAAACTTTTTCATACAAAATCATCATTTAATGAACAATCAAATCAATCGATTGAAAATCATCAAACAACAACAATTCAACAACAAATGACAATCAATCATCATCATCATCAAAATCAACGACATATTCCATCAATAAATATGGCCAATATTCATTATGTAAGTTTAAATAACGTTTTTTTCTTCTTCTTCTTTTCAAACTTTATTACTAAGAATGATGATGATGATGATTGAGATGATAAACATTGTTTGTGGTCGTCATCGAAGCCTTCCAGCCATAGCAAAAACATTGACATTTTCTTATTTCAATTCTGACCATTTTTTGCTTTGTTTGAATAATTTGTCATTTGGAGAGAAATAAAAAAAAATGATCAGAAAATGACGTGGAGAAAGATTCCTTATTTTTTTCTTTTGGTTGTTGATGATGTCCATTGTTCAAATAATTTTTGTGAAAAAAAAAAGAAACCAACCACAATGATTACCGTTGGGGATTTCCTCATATAACAGATACACACACACACATACAAATGTAGCCAATTTCATTTTCTTGTTTCATAATTTTTTTTTTTGGCGATCAAATCATATCATCATCAAAAGAAACAATCAGAAAAATCCGATACACTTGTCATTTTGGGTGAAAAAATAGATAATTTCTCTCTCTTGCTCTTGTCTGGGTGCGTGTGTGTTGAATTTCATTGAATAAAAATGACAATTTTTCTTCGATTCTGAAAAAGAAAAAATCATTCATTGTGAGACAAGAATGAAAAATCCGAACCAAAAATTTCGCTAACCCAAGAATTGAATCATTCAAGCGAGCAATGAATCCACACACACAAGAGAGAGAGAGAGAGAGAGAGAGAGAGAGAGAGAGAATTGAGTATCATCATCATCATCATTGTGGCGTGAAATAATCATTGCTACAACAACAACAACAGAATAGAAAAACTCTTCTTTATCTGTCAATTTTTTTTTTGATTCCTGTTTTTGTTATTATTGGCGCCTAAACACACACCACACACACACACACACATAGACAATTCAACCGATTGATTTTGAAATGAAATAACAATAATAATCTCTACATGTTTTTCTCTCTTCATGTGTGGATTTTCGTTTTTCAATGTTTATTAGGCACAGTTACTTATAATGGAAAAAAAATTTGATCAAGCTCAAGTGATACTTGAAACATTAATAAACAAAATGATGAAAGATACTGATGATAAAGCTGAAAAGCAAAATTCTGAAAAACAATCGATTGAAAAGAATGGGCAATTGTCAACAACAACAACAACATTGATTCTAGATGTTTATCATCAATTAGCATTATTATTTACAATGACTAATCGTACTGAAAAGGTAAGATATTCTTGATGATTCTTGGTTTTAGAAAAGCAACAAATTTTTCGTTTTTTAATTTTTTTAATACGAAAAAACAAACAGGCTCTTGAATCCATTGGAAAAGCATTGAATTCATGTCCAAATCATTTTGATTCTTCAACAACAACAACAGCAACTACTGCTACTAATAATAATATTGTAATCAATAAAATTCTTAATCATTGTGCACAAATTTGGACATTAAAAGGTGATATACAAAAAGATCAATTTCATACAAATCGTTCGAAAGCAATCAAAAGCTATCAAATGGCAATTAAATTAGATCATTGTCAATCACGTGCACATTTACATTTAGCTGTGATATATCATTTAGAACAGAAATTTAATCAAGCAATGTTTCATTATTTACAAGCTAAACAATTTGATTATTATTCAATAAATCAACAATTAATTGATGATAATATTCGTAAACTTGATAATCATTTTGATCGAAAACATTATCAACAACATCAAACCATCAATGATGAAGACAAATTTAATCCACAAATACAATGTCGATGGCAAACAACATCATCGATGTTCATCAATATTCATTCATCAAATACGATTAATGATAATGGTAATCAATCGAATGATCAACATCATAATCAACAATATTTATCAAATATAATGATGGCTGCAACTGAACCACCGGATATAATTTATGGTAGTCAAACATCATCATTATCATCATCATCATTTTGATCAGATCGAATCGGATCGCATTGATTTTTGTTGTAAAAAATTACTATTTTTTTCTGATTTTTGATTTGCCAAATAAAAAAAAATTTATAAAGAAAAAAATAATGTTTGTTTTGTTTTTTGAAACTGAAAGTTTTTTTTTGGGGTTTCTGGATCGACAAATATATTGCTGATGACGCATGTGAAAAAAAGAAAAAAGATTTTGCGGATCATAATCATCATACCAACAGCCGTGTTTATTGTCGTTTGTTTGTTTGTTTGTTTGGTGTAATAAGTGACAAGTTGCAAAAAACAACTACACACAGTGTTAGAGTTTTGGAAATTCGGGTTTCCCGGATAATAATCATCATCATCATCTTTTTTGTTGTTGTTGTTGTTGTTGTTGTTGGAACTCTAGATTTTCGACAACCAAGCATCGAGGAAAAAAAACAGGATGGAAAAATAAAAGAATAATAACGACAACAACAACAACAAAAAAGCAAATGATAGCCATTAATCATAGCACCAGAATCCCGAAAGAAAAAAAAATGTTCCTATCGTTTTCGTTCGTTCGTTTTCGTTTGTTTTGACATCGAACAATCAAAACATAAACAACAACAACAACACAATGTGTTGAACGAATTGAACGAACAAACGAAAAAAAAACTTTCAAACAAATTATTATCTTAAAGAACTGAGAAATTGTCGTATAAATTTACACAATCGACAAACGTCACAAGTCAAACAAACAAAAAACAATAATAATAACTAACTATTTCAACCCACCCAAGAATATATCCAGATGGTCAATCAAAGAAAAAATGTTCGTAAAAAAAATTTGGGAGAAAAAATGTCAAATTCAAAAAAAAAAAAAATGAAATTGATACACACCATTGATTGGCTGGTTGGTTGATGCAGATTGGGCGACAATATCCCAAACAATTTTTGTTGTTTTCAGTACACCAATCATTAACATGAAAAAAACATGTCATGTTTCACAAATGTGAAATGACCGTTTGTTGATATCAGAATCAATGATGATGATGATGATGATGATGTGTTATAATAAAGTGTTGAAAATTAAATAAAAAATGTTTCGTTGACAACAAACAAACGAGAGAAATGAAAGAAAAATCAATTTTCACACAGTAAAAATAAACAGAAAATAATTCAATGTCATCATCATCATCATACATTACGTAATAAGTCCAAAATGGAAACTTGTTTTGTTGAAAGATTTTTGGAAATTAATCAGAAACATTTCTGTTTCTGTTTCTAATTCGGTCTTTTCACACCATAATCATTATCATTGATGATGATGATTGTCCATAACGGATTTTGTTGGCTGTTGTTTTAGGTTATTTTTTTTTTGATGAGAGGGGGTTGTTGTCGATTCCAAGAAATTTCCAGCCACCACCAAAGAAAAAAATTGGACAAAATGTTGACAACCGAGAATCAAACGGGGAATATTAAAACAATAACAAATTTGTATCCAATCTTTAATTGGAATTCTTTTTTCTTTTCAATGAATGAATCAAAATGATCAAATGATTGGCCTGATGGGAAATCTAAATCGGGTATAATTCTTCTTGACAAACGAACAAACGAACGAATGATGATGGCCTAACGTTTCCTTTGCTTGTGGCTTCAATTCAGGACATCATCATCATCATCATCATTATTATTGGGATTTAGATTCACGAATAATAATAACAACATACATGCTGGTGGTGGTGGAAAATTCTTCATTACATTGATTGAGTCACGATGTTGTTGTTGTTGTTGCTGTTGATGACGATGATGATGTCCCCGAAAACAAAAAATCTATTTCAATATTTTTGGGCTCAAGTCAAATTGAACATCATTTCGTTCGTTCGTTGTTGTTGATTTTTGATGGCAAATAATAATGATGATGACAAGCGAAAAAAAAACTTAACTAACTAAACTAGCTAATAATAATAATAATGATCCAATCAAAATGAAATAATTTTTTTTTCACGAAAAACAATTCCAAACGTTGTTTATTCTTCTTGATTGTATTTCTTTCTGGTTTCTTTTTGTTGTTGTTGTTCAATTCGAATTTGCCCAAAAATAGGAAAACAAAAAATTGTCAAACTTTCTCGGGCAAATTTGGACAAACATTTTCGCAAATATCGATGGATGGATGGAAGAAAAAAAAGAAATTTGTTTAGTTCATTATTATGATAATTATCATTATGATTCTTACTTGTTTACAAACAACATTATAATCCAAGTTTTTTTTTATGGAACGGTACTTTTTCTTTCTTTTTCTGGTTAATCGGATAGTCTCTCAAAACATATATATCTGATAAACTATTGATGGTCGTTCATACATAATTCATTTCATCATCATTTTGATGATGATGAGAATTGTGAATGAAATAAACACCAGAGAAATAGAATTCGATGGATTCAATAAGTGGGGGAAAACAAAAAAAAGTTGCCATACAAAGTTGATATTATATTCATTAACATTCGGAAAAATAAATGAATGAAAACAGAAACAGAAACAGAAACAGAAACAGAAAACAAAATGAAACTTTCATATCACTTTTCTCTCTCGAGGATGTTATTATGGTTGACGACAAATGTTTGTTGTCCACGAAAGAAAAGGGGGAAACTCAATCAAACATTCGAAAAGATTGTGATACATTGTATATGAATGGATCATCCGTAAATGTGATTTTCCTATCTCCCCCCCTCGTTTTTTTTTGATGATGAATTTGGTTATATTTCGGTTTCGAGCTCCATATTTTCTTTTCCGCGTCTATAATGAGAACATTCACATTTCTTTTTCTTCTTCACGAGTACAAACATTTATTATTAATTAAAAATAACAGACCAAAAAAAACGAAACAACAACAACAACAGGATAATGATGAGATATAATCAACAACAACAACAAAAAATAAACAACCCAAGAGAGAGAAAGAAAAGTAAGAATGATATGCCGGGAATTCATTTTCGGTTTGCCCAAAAAAAAAAGAATTTATTTATTTTTTTCTGTGTGTAATCAACAACAACAAGTTTTTTGGTAACTTTGTTCAACACACATCTCATCTTTCCATAATGAATTCTATTTTCGTTTTCTGTTTTTTTTTTTGTTTTTCTGATCCTTTTTCAGATTCTCTCTCTCTCTCTGATCCAATCATTTTCATGATTCAATTCATTTTGGTGGCTGATATATGAATAATTTAATTCAACATAATCACATTTTCTATCATATATAATCATCATCTTTTATTTCTATTTTCATTCAAAATATTACCTGGAAAAAAGGAAGAATCTTCCTTTTTTTCCATTATCAATTCAATTCAATTCGAACAAAAAAAAAATCTCAAAAAAACAAGACCTTCGAACATTCGAAAACTATTTCCACTCAACCCGGGTCCCTTGTGTGTGTGTCGCACAACCTGTCAAACTTTAAGTTTTTTTTCAATTTCAATTTGAAAACTTTTTTTTGTTCCTTGGCAATTCAAAAGTAAGTGAGAAGAAAATAAAATTATTTGTTTAAAATGTTTTTATTCTTTTTCTTGCTCCAGAACATCATAAATCAAGCATCGAAAAAAAATTCTTATGAATCGATACGTCAAAATCAAAAGATCATTATTGAAGATGGATTGGATTCAACAACAACAACCATTCAATTCAATTTATAATTCCATTATTATTATGTCTATTCTTTTTGGTTCAATATTGAAAAGTGAATGTGTGAAAACAAAAAAAAAACAATTGAAAAATAATCGATCAATACGATTTTCTTCAGATTTTTATGATCTGATCGATTGACAACCACCTGAAAATGGAGTGTTTTTTTGAAGAGAAAATATTGACAACATTCGATTCGAATCGAACCAGAAAAAATGATATTTGATTTGTGAAAGTTATCATCATCACTTGTGCATTTTTCCATCAACCTGAAAACCGGGATTTCGTTCGGTTTCTAATCTGTGTTTGGTGTCCGATTCTGTTTTTTTTTCATCACGCAATAACCAACCCATCAAACAGAAATCATATTTTCACCAAAATCGATTATAAATAATTTTCTTTCAAGAAAAAAAAAGAAGAAGTTCTTTAGCCATTGTTGTTGTTACAAATAGCTTCTTCTTCGATTCTTATTTCTAATAATAATCATAACTTTGAAACTACAACAACAACAAAGAAGGATGGAAAAAAATGAAAAATTCATGTATTTTGTATGTGATTAGACTTTGAAAACATCATCACCTCTCTTCATCATCAACAAATAAAAAAATTGCCAAAAAAGAAAGAAAGAAGAACCTGGAAGGAAAATCGAACCAAAAACAAAAAAAAAATGAATGGCTATTCTAACCCAACAACAACCACACAATGTGAATATATTTTCCCACCCAAACCAAACCAAACCAAAAAAAAAAAATCAAACATGCAAATCACGAATGAAATTCGAATGTTTTTTGTTTTGTTTTGTTCATTTCAATTTTCGAATCCATCGAAAAAATATTCGATCAAGAAATTACGGGCATCCATTTTTGTTACGTTTTTTTTGTTGTTTTGTTTTGTATTTCCACATCATCTTCCGCCATTGAACAATAGTAGAATTTTCTGTTGTTGTTGTTCAAATACACAAAACGCATACTTCTTGGGTAATCGGTTTTTGTTTGCCTGTTTCAAGTGAAAAACATTGAAAACAATATTATCGATATCATTTTTTTTTTTTGATCGTAAATGATGATCATGATGAGAATATGCATTAAAAACATGGTAAACAACCCATGGAAAAATGAAATGAAATGAAATTACCACACGTATCACCCCCACCACCAAAATCATCGTAAGTACGAAAAACGATTCGATTAACGATTAACAATAATTCTTTTCTTTCGTTTTTTTTAATGACCAACCACATCAATGGCAATTTATTATGTATACGTCGTTATATTGCATTGTTGTCGTTTGGATAATTTTTTTTCGAATTTAATGGATTGATTCAATTAATCAACTCTGATTACACACAGTGGTTAAAATACAAAAAAAGTCTCAAATTTTTTTTGTTGTTGTCATTATTATATAATAGGCCAGGTTTTAATCTAATCAACAACAACAAAACAAACGTTTTAATTTCATTCACGTGGATTATCAACCACCAACAATCTTTTGAATGGAATAATGTTTTTTTTTTGTTCTCCTGAAAATGATTATCGTCCAAAACAGAATTTTTTTCCAAAAAAGAATAGAATTCTCATATAGAAATATTCGAATTACCACTACCTCTTTTTTTTTTGGTGCGGACATCAACAAAAAACAAACAAGAAAAGAATCCCATTCGATCCATTATCCACTACTTTTTTGTCATCATATCCAGGCTATGCTGCTACCTATGTGTTGTGGTATAATGTTGTTGGCGTCATAAGAACGCCAAGCCAAAAATGACATTTCGGTAAAGTGGTTCGATTTTTTTTTTTTTTTTTGATACTATCCGGGTTCCAACAGAAAGGGAATTGAATTTCTCAGCTTTTTTTTTTTTTTTTTTTTTTTTTT